CATTGCAGACTTAGGGCTGCTGCTGCATTAGAGAAACAGCCTGGTTTTTCAAGGACCAGCTGACTTTTCCCTCTAGCTGAAATGGGATTGGGAAAATCTAACACTAACAAAGGACTTTGATTGGCCTTCATGCTTAAAATATTTGCCTTTAAGATAACCCAGAGTTTGTTTGTGACTAGAATGCACACGTTGGTTTTCTATCTCAATGTCTACTCTCTCCCTCTATTAGGAAGTAAGGCAGCTTCATTTTTAAATACCCACTCTCCTAATCTGTTGTAACTGATGGTGTTCAGAGAGGACATGACTTGATGGTAACACTGTGTAAACACAGCTGGGCATCCTGCAGAGCTACAGTCTCTACAGTGCCCAGTATCTCCTCACTGCATGCAAAGCACAGAGGCTGTAGACCCACAGCCACTGTTCTGTGAGCTGCCTCAGCTCACCTCTGTAGCCCTAGTTTGCACTTGTCTACATCTATTTACGACTTCAATTGTAGTGCCAAACTCTAATATTTAAAAGAGAAAGAAACAAACTAAACCACAAATTAGTCCTCTTTACGATATATTGGAGGAGGGAAACACAATTCCTAACTAGTTTCCTGATTTCAAAAGTCAATTCTGCTGATCTACCTGTGAATCTGGGATGGTCGTGTGGTTTTTTGAACCCAATAACTTGCCACATAAGCCACAGAATGTGCATGTCAGATTGGGAATGTTTCCTGAAAAAAGGGGCTGCATCCCTCTGTGACCTCAGCTAATAGCACTGGCGCCCCGGTTTGTGAGTGGATCCATTTTATCATCTGGTCTCCAGCTAATCGAACAGAGAACCTCAGACCACAAACTTTGGTGCAAGCCCGGCTCTCAGCAAGCAAGTCTGGCATAGGAAGACTTGTCATTGTATAACTGGAATGGCACCTTACTTCAAATCCTGATTTAAAGCTCTTTAATCTTGCGAATAAATAATTTTCCATTCACATTTATTCACCCAAAAAGCAGGGAAAACATCAGGGCTGCAAATATAAAATGCATAGTCACATGTAGACACAGGAAGTACCTAACTAAGGATTTTATTTTTCAAAAGGAAAAATAATTCCTGACATATTTATAAAAGCTGAGTTTGAGGAAAAAAGATAATAGGACAGGTTTCTAGAGGGAAATAATGTGAGTCACAAGGGCAGTATCCTATAGTAACCTTCTAAAATCCTGAAGGTTGATTCCTTCACTCCAACCTCCTCTTCAACCTATCAGAAAATCTGGTGCCTCTAATTTTTTAGCATGTCTTAAAACTGAACACTTCTCTCCACCTCTGCTGCTGCCATTCTGGGATAAGCACCATGCCTCTAATATCTAAAAGTGGAGAAAGCAAACTAAACTATAAATCAATCCTTTTTATGCTATGTTGGGGGGAAATTTCCTTGCTAAATTCATGATTTCAAAAGTAGATTCTGTTTTTCTACCTTGGAATCTGGGAAGTCTTCTGGTGTGTTTGAACCAATAACTTGCCACATAAGGGGAAAATATTGCAATATCCTTCTTCCTTCTAACTGGTCTACGGAGTCATCTGTCTATAATCTAAGGTTCCTTACAAAAAAGGCTAGTCATGTCACTCATGTACAAAAAACAACCCTATGTGTTCCCAACTGATTCCAAGTCTAATCCTGTACAGTCACCTAAGGGTCCTCAATAGCAGGTCTGCATTACCCACAGCCTTTCTAGCCTGATACCCACACTGTCTACCATTCTGCTCCAGCTGTGCTAACCTTGTCAGTCTCTCAGGCCCAGCATGGAAGATGCTTGCACTGTCTCTCTGCCTGAAACACTATTTCCCAGATTTATTCAAGGCACACACTCTCCTCTCCTATAAGTACCATTCAAATGTCATTTTCTGATTAAATGCCATCCTCACCAGTCTGTTAGACTCCCCCTGCCTTCCTCCCATCAGCAGTCCCTACCTGTCTTATTTTGCTCTGACTCAGCTCTATTTTCAACAAGACCTACTGTCACCTTCTGACTCCTGTTTCTAAGCTGGCTGACCATTTCATCCACCAGAATGCATTCACCACAGACAGAAAGAGTTTTCTGTTTTGTTTACTGCTGTATCCCAGTGTATAGTACAGTTCCTAGCAACTAGTTGTCACTAAAGAATTATTTGTAGAACAAATAAATGGATAATTACCTTTATATTTTGGGGCTTCCCACTCTCCCAAAGTATTATCTCTTTCAAACTGTGCTCCAATTATTCAGGACATATATAGCATCACGAAAACTTTCCTGGCTTGGTATACTATCTCACTCATAAGAAAAAGGAGTGACTGAAGGAGAGGACTCACAACCATCAAACTCACAACCATCCAGAAGGACCTAAATCTATCCTGACTTTGAAAGAAATGCCAATGAAAAGTGAATGTGAATGAAAGATAGGAAAGGTTGGTGCAATCATCCCAAAGCATCCCTTTGGGAATGGCATCTCCAGTGGGAGGCTCCCCTATGCAGCTCTGTCTCTGGCCCATTCCTGGAGCACCTAAATTCTACAGAAGAACGTGTTCCTCTAGCAACTGAGCATGAATAGCAAGTAGTGGAAATATCATACTAGCAGTTTGCACAGCAAAGAATATCTCAACTACTAGAGTCTGAAAAAAGCTAGTTTGTTTTTATAACCTCTTATTTTCTCCAAGTGAACATTTTCACTGAGCAGTATTACCAGACTGAATTTCAATTCTAGATGGAGTTTCATAGATCATTAGTTAGAATCCTATTTAGAAGGGCGAATGTGCACGTGCGTGCGTATCTGTGTTAAAAGTGATCCTTTGAGAGCCAGGACAGACTCTGTATCTCCCTTCCAAATGCAACTGAGCTTACAGGGAAGCCAAACCACCTCACTGTTCTCATCCAGGTAACTTACCCTTTCTCCGGAAGGACAGTCCTGGAAGTGACACGCTCTTCCCTTCCTTCTGCATATTGGCAGGATTTGTTGGACCCAATATATGTATTTCCTTAATAGCCCTCTGTGTTATTATTCTTCCACATAGTAACCCAGAAAAATGTGCCTTAGTCTCTAAAGACTCATTTAAATTTCATTTGGAGTATGGGGATGATATATTAATTAGGACATGATGAAAAGAGAAGTGTTTTATTAAGAGTACAATAGAACAGATAGAAGTCACAATATAATAATCAGGTGCTTGATGACAGAAACTCTCCAAGTTGCACTAATTAGACTTTTCCAGAGTATGTCATGTGGCTCATGAATTTTTCCCTCATCTTATGCTCTTCTGTATGTTCAGTTTCCCCCTCCTTGTCTCATTATCCAAAAAAAAAAAAAATACTATCAGTCCAATGCACGATTAACTGAATCACATCTGCCATAAATTTGTATTTTAAAACCCTAAAACACAGGTGCTTAAACTGTGACTGTATTTGGAGAAAAGGCCCTATAAAAAGTGATTAAGTTGAAGGGAAAGATCCTAATATCAAAAGCCAATAGAAATGTAGATACACAGAGATAGCAAGGAAGCTGTGCATAGAGACAAGATTTTGGGGGTCACAGCAGAGGGCAGCACTCTGCAAGGCAAGAAGGAGGCCTCACAGCAAAGGGCCCCTGTTGGCACCTTGCACTTGGCCTTGGGTCCTCCAGAACTGTGATGAAATAAATGGCTTGGTGACCTGGTCTTTGGTGTTTTGTTATGGCAGACCTGGCTAAGGAATATATCAACACTAAGTTTGTTCTTTTTTTTTGTTTGTTTTTGTTTTTGTCTCTTATGTGATATGTGAAACAACTACCAAAATTTTAAAAAGTGATATATGATAATGAATATTCTCTAATTTTTCATTAATTCATTTATAAACTTGCAAGAAAACACAAACATTTATAGAACCTTAATTTTTGCCAATCATTGCTTCACCTAGTGGTAATTTATTCCAAAACCTCTTTTGGATGTAAAGCTTTTTGTAATCTATTTATTTCTATACCTCCATTCCTGTCTGTTCAATAGACTTCCATCCTTTTGCTCTTGATTCATCAAGTATAGAAAATACTATTTTACTGGAAGCTCTCAGTATCTGAAGGAGCATATTTATATTTTCTAGCATCTAATCCATGGAAGTCTTTGTGCTATAGTTTGCCAAGAAATGGGAATCAGAAAAGAAAAAAAAAAAATAGACTCATCTCGGAGGGAATTTTCCTGTAGATAATTTACTCTGGACTTCCTAACTCTATCTCTCAACAAAGAGGGCAAGAATCTTTGGAGTCACAATTCTAGGTCTGCATTCTTATTTTTTCACCTGCCAACTACAGGATGAAAGCAAGTCAGTTCATCCTGACAAATTGCTAATCCAAACAATCCAGCTAATCCTGACAATGATCCCATAACTACTTGTATCATTTCCCTCTAGGTTAAGGGATAGATTAAAATAGTAAACATAAAAGCAACTTACAACCTTTCAGTCAAACTTTTTTTTTTGTCTGTAAGTGGTCTCATTTTTTATTTTATTTTTTATAATAAATTTTATTTTTATATTCCCCATACAATTGCAACCCCCTTATTTTGACCCCAATCCCTCCCCTCCCGCCCCTTACCCCCCATAGAGTGTCTCTGGTTCATAGTTTTTTGTTGATTTTGATTTTCACTTTCTTATAGCTATTCAATATTCTGGTCCCTTATTTAAGTTTTCTAGATTCCTGCTATGAGTGAGACCATCCGGTATTTTTCTTTTTCTTTCTGGAATAAATCCTCTCTTTCAACAATTGTAAAATTCCAGTAATTCCATATTTCTGTCTATTCTAAGCAGTATATAAGAAGCTTTTTTTCAAATGACCATGTCTCATTTACAACCATATTCAAATATATTTGTGACAACCTAAAAAAACAAATGTAGGTTAGTGTTTTACATTATTGTGACTTAGTTGTAGTTCATTTTATTTATTTATGAGTGCATACACTAACAATGACTTGGAAATAATCTCTAAATTAAAATGCAGCCAAGCTGACCAAGTATCTTCATTTAAGAAAACTTTGCTCTATCTACCATCTTCTTCAGGGCATCCTTAACATCTTTATTTCTTAAGCTATATATTAAAGGATTCAGCATGGGTATCACCACAGTATAGAACACTGACACCACTTTATCCCTCTCCAGGGCATAGCTAGTACTTGGCCGAGAATAAATGAAAAGAATCGAGCCATAGTACAAGGTGACAGCTGTCAGGTGAGAGCCACAGGTGGAGAAGGCCTTGAGACGGCCTTGGGCAGAGCGTATCTTCAAGATGGCAGCAATGATGAAGAGGTAGGAGGCGAGAATGAGCACAGTGGGAGTAATGACATTGGAGGCAAGTATGAAATAGAGCACAGACTGGTAGCTCTCCTTCACATCACAGGCCAGCTTCACAAGTGGGGGCAGATCACAGAAGAAATCATCAATGACATTGTTCCCACAGAAACTCAGAGTAAATGTCTCACTGGTAATGATGGTTGAGTTAATAAAGCCACCAAGGTATGATGCTGCAACAAGACTGCTACATAACCTGAAGGACATGGCCTGGGAGTAAAGCAGGGGGTTGGAGATGGCCACATAGCGGTCATAAGCCATGGCGGCCAGCAGGTAGCACTCACTGTAGGCCAGCCCAGCTGAGAAGAAGAACTGGGCCAGGCAGCCAGCAAAGGAGATGCTTTTGTCATCAGAGATGCAGGTCATGAGGATTTTGGGAGCATAGACAGAGGAATACCAGAGATCCAGAAATGACAGGTTTCCAATGAAGAAATACATGGGTGTGTGGAGCCGAGAATCAGCACAGATCAGAGAGATCAGGGTGATGTTTCCTAAGAGACTGAAGATGTAAATCATGAGGAAGATGAAAAAGAGGACTCTCTGCAACCACAAGTCTGCCGTGAACCCTAGAAGTATGAACTCTTTCACTTGGGTGAAATTTTTCTCATCCATCAATGTTGGTTTTCTAAGGTCCCTTTCTGTGAAAAGAATAGTATACATGTCATGATTTAAGATAGCCATGTAGCAGAAACATTAATTCAAAAGGGCACCTGCACCCCTATGTTTATAGCAGCACTATTTCCAATAGCTAAGCTATGGAAACAACCCAAATGCCCAAAAATAGATGACTGGATCAAGAAGATATGGTACATATACACAATGGAATATTACTCAGCAATCAAAAAGATAAACACATGCAATTTGCAGCAACATGGATGGGGCTGGAAGGGATCATGCTCAGTAAAATAAGTCAGAAAGAAAAAGAAAAATACCGGATGGTCACATCATAGCAGGAATTTAGAAAACCTAAATAAGAGACCAGGAAAAAGACTAATTATAATAAAGTAAAAATCAAAATCAACAAGTAACTATAAACAAGAGACACACTAAGGAGGGTGGAGGGAGGAGGGATTAGGGTTAAAATAAAGGGGGTGGGAATTGTATGGGGACTATAACCAAGATGAAAATGCATACGTTGTGCAAAAATAAAAAATGATGTAAAAATATATAAAAGAAAAAAATAAATTTAAATAAATTTAAATTTTTTTTAAATAAAAAAAAAGAGAAAAAGATAGCCGTGTATCCGCTTTACCCATTGTTTGTCCTTTTAGGTCATTGGAAACCTCAACATCAATGTTGTTCTTTGTGAGACATGGTTATTCTATATGAAGATCATTCTTTTTAGATAACTGACAAATCCATCCTATGATGCTTTGAAAGACCAGTTATCATGCACATAACATACTGGTTTCAAACATGTATTTTTAAACTAAGTTTTCCTCCTTTCAAGGAGGGTGATTTGTTTATCTTCCCTTCTACTTATAATTAAGGTGGCTGGGGAACAAGTAGAAGAGATGAAAGGGAGCTTGAAGAATTGCTCTGTTTTCTCTTCTTGACCTTGACTCATTTGTCTTTCCTAGAGTATTACATTATTCTACCTATATTTGCAATATGCTTGGAAGTGTATTTTACATGAATTCCTTGAAGGCGGTAATTATATTTTATTCAACTTTTACCCATAAAGCTAGAATACAGTTATGCATAAAGTAATGGGTAATGAATAAAAGAGAAGACTTGCTTAGATAATAAGAATTTGAGACTGTAGTTACCTGTATGACCCTTATATGGACAATGACGGGAAACATAAATATTGATCAATTAATCATTGGATTCCCAATCCCTATAGAATCAAGAGTCAAAGGGGAAAAAAAGAAACAAAAAGGGCAATCTTGGCAAACTGAGTGGTTTGGGGAATGTGGTAGGCTGAAAATGGGCTGTAAATATATCTGGGTTCTAATTCCTGGAAACTGCAAATTTTGCCTTAAAAAGAAACAATTAATTAAAATTACTGGATAGCTTCTCTCCTATGTGGAGTATAGAGAAACAACACACGGTAAGGTAGAACAAAACCAATAATAAGCCCTAGAAATCTGACTGTGAATTGAGCCTATGGGCAGAGGGTGAGAAAGGGACAATAGAGAGGAGTGCCCAGGAGACTTTGGTGCAGGATAATGGGTGCCTTGGTGGTGAGTGGGGTGTGTACTAAACACCTAAAGGGTGTGCCCCATCCCTCTAAATCATATACCATGTTGTAAACCAATGTTGCTTCATTAATGGATTTTTTTAAAAACCACCTAGTGATTTTAAAAAAAACTGCAATGGAAAGATTATCAGGGCAGTCTTTAACTGCAATCACAGCATTATAAGAAGGTGGCAAAGAGAGACATGACTGCCAACACAAGGGGAGAGGCTGGACCAATTACCACCCAAGGATGGCCCAGGCCACAAAAGCCCAGGAGGAACAAATTCTCCAACAGAGCCTCTGGGTGGTTTATATTATATAAACCCTGCCCTGCCAGCACCTTGATTTTACCCTGTGATGTTGAGTTTAGACATCTGCCCTCCAGAAGTGTGGGGCACCAGGTTTTGGCAATTTGTTATTACAGCATGTTGGGCGATTCAACCTCGACACATCTCTCCTTCAAGATAGGAGACAGGACTATTGCTAACATTCGCTTCTCTCTGTCAGAACACTGCTAGAACAGACCATAGTCAAAACAGGGTTAAATTATGATTGACAAGTTTCTGAACAGGCAGGAGATATAATAGTGCTATTAGATCCAAGACTTTCAAATCTCTTATGCTTGAAGCTTGAGGGAAAAACAAAAAAAAAAAAAACCTAAATTTTGGATTCATGCCAGGTAATGGACTTATAAATGAGCTTGAAAAGTAAAGCATTGTTCTCTTGGAATCTATTTGATGGTAAGATTCTATTCAGGTTTAATATAACTATCAATGCCATAGTTGTTAGAGAAGAAGTTCTTCAGTAATAAAAAATAAAGGCTTGGAAAGTGACATTTTAGTTTCCTTAGTATTTCACAGCTGTTAAGTGCCAAGATCATTTTGAGCAAAATGATTCCTGGAAGCTTAAGACCAAGAATCAAGAGACATGAGTTCTGATCTTTGCTGGATGCTGCCAATTTTAAATAAAATTATGATCTCCAAAACTTTCTTAGTTGAGTGGGACTTTCTACGCTCACTTGAAAACTGTAAGTTAAAACTCTGTTTTGAGTTCACTGTGATCCTGTTTATCTCTGCAATCTATTCTTTAGACAGATTTGCTGTACTTCACAAGGATCTCTGTCTAAGCTGGGACCCCCAAGAGTTTCATGTGTTCCCATGTAAAAACTTCCCCTTCTAGGAAATAATTGGACTTGCTTATAAAATCTACCATTGGAAACGAAAATTGCATGATCCTTTTTTTGCTCATTTCACTTGTTTTTCTGTACAGTCATTTAAATATAAAATAAACATCCATGTCAATGCATACATTTATGAATATGAACATCAATGCTTTTACAAATAGAAAAATGACTTATGATGGCTTAGTGTGATATATAAGACACAATTAAATAGAACAAACTAATAAACATGAAAAGGAAAGTTAAGACCTGGCTATAAATAGAAGCAAAGATAAAATTTGTTGCACACCAACAAATCCTATCCTCTGCTCTGTGCAGACCTCTGATTAGACTGGACCACTTTGTAGAAGCACAAATATATAATTAGTAGCACTCAGAAGACAAGTAAATCCACCTAAAGTTTGGACAAAGCATTACCACTCTTGCTATCTTGAATTTTGAAGTCATTTCTCCCACAGTTTCTTACAAAGATAATGAGTAAAATATAAGCATAACATACCTTTATGTATGTAGGCACACACAAAAAGGAGATCTTTGAGTTACCTTTACTTGCCATTCATTTACTTGAAGCTGGCAGCAAGTCTTACTGTACTCAAGAGATGCTCAGAAACCTTCTCTGCATAAAATATCTCTTCTCCACATCTTTCAAACACTTCCTTTCACCAAGAGACCTCTTGAAGAGGATGTCTCTAACATGGTCACTCAAAAGAAGTCAGTCTCCAAATGACCTCTCAGCCTTCTCCAGGCTTAATGTACCTCTCATCTTTGTTAGTCTCTGATGACATCATATACTTTTTCAGTTATATATTAATAATCAACATACAATATGGTGTCAAAGAGATATCTATATTTATATATATGCACATGTATATATAATCTTATATCTAAACAAGTAATAGATATTCAAAATAAAAATATATAGAATTATAGAAAGATGTTAATAAACTATCACTACAGACAAAGATATAGATTTAAAATTGTACCCCTCCTAAGAAATTTCTATCCCATGCACTGCCTAACATAGAAAAATATTCTAAAGTCATGAAAATATTGACCCATAATAATATTTCTATACTTTGACCTACTCTAAGGACTAATAAGTTTTCTGCCAGATAACAGGAGAGAGAGCCATGAGCCACACACAACTGTATGGGGTTATGACAGTGAAACCAGCCAGCAAGTACCATCTAATTGCATGCTTTCCTGAAACAGAGACTAAGAAGTGAAGAAAGAACATTTGGAGACATCTTCATTTTCTTCATCAAATATAAGCAAGACAATATCTTTGTGTTTCACAAAGACAAATTATGTAGTGGTTTGATTTTGTTAAGAATTGTTTTGGGGGCCTCCCCTGGTGGCGCAGTGGTTCAGCGCTGGGCTGAGAAGCTACCCACAGCCTCTGCAGTGCTGGTTTGATCCCCGGCCACAGGCAAGGGTCCCACATGGCGTGACAGATCTCTCCTGCCACGCCCGCTGCTCCCCTCAGTGGAGTATTTCGTCAGTCTGCCTGTTCTGTTCCTTGCTCTGGCTCTGGTGAATTCTCTCACCCTCCAGCACTTCTGACTGTACCCAGTGCTTGTATAAATAAATAAATAAATCTTTAAAAAATAAAAAAATAAAAGAATTGTTTTTGGTTTTGTTCATATAGTGATTTACTGACCTTTTCCTTTGGTTAATTAAAAGCACAACATCTTATGAATATAAATGGTCACTGTATTTGACTTTCAACTCAAGTCCAGGATTTCTCATATTACCTTGGAATTAAAAGATTCTTCTATTCACTCAACAGGAATCTTCTTTCAAACAACAATGATATTGAGAGAATATATAAGCCTGAGTGTCCCTTTGGGATATGATGTTGAGTCAGGGATCTTGGGGTGGTATAGTGCCAGGTAAACAATTATAATGTTCAGAATCTTTCTAGAATGAAGTAGGGGGAGATTCCACATGGTGTAAATAATTGGTCCAATTAACCTACAAAGCCCTTTTGCTTTGTGAGTATCATTCATTCGGTTGAAACAGAATCAAACAGGAAGGAATAACCACTAGAAAACTGTACACGGTAGATACTCAAGAATTACTTGTAACCCATGATGATAATGACAATAATCATGATAATGAAGAGAGAATTATGGCCCTTAAACAGGTAGATTTTCATTTAATAAGATGTCTTCAGTTTACAAACTATAAAATTGAGAGGCAGAGTTTGAGAAATTGAAATGGAAAGATGGAATGGTCTGAAGAAACTTT